CTGCTCATCTGTGTCTCAGAAGAACAAATGCAAAATGCTTTTGATTTAACTTAATGTATCTTTTAAAAAAATCCCAAATCTCTTGAACCATTTGTCTTCTGGGCACAGAAACATTTGTTTGCTAAATATTCAATCATGCCCCATGCCAGGAACATCAATAGAGCTTGCCTGATTAACCGTAGCACAGCATATGTATGCTCAAGATGAGAATGATTTCCCCAAGGAGCACGCACTTCCTCTGCTGAACTCTCTTTCTTAGAAGGACATGCAGATGGGCATTTGGACACTCATTTCTGGATGTACAAAATGATTGCTCTTGCTGAGTTGTAATTTTGAAAAGATAATTTTAATGACTCTTGAGGACCACCTACTTGGAGCAGATGGGACCCAAGCTCTTTGTAACGGCACTTTAATGCTGTATGAGTCAAGATAGAACACTGTATCAGCCTTTGTGAAAGAGGATGATCATATTTATTTATATTTCAAATACAATTTTAATTCAGTCCACCATGAAAAAGTATTCTATGACATTCTTAAAAGTTCTATATTAAAATACACCTATACTATTCCAAACATAACTTTTGATTGCAGTTTAGAATTTGTAAAAAACCAGTTTTTACGTGTGTCCAATGACAATTGACAACACCCTTTATTTGGACACTAGCAAGCAACAAGAGCTAGAGCAGATGGAGATTAAAGAGGACAGTTATTTGTATAAATTATGACTAAAGATAATCATAGAATAATAAAAACTTAATTTTTCTTTGGTGCTAAAGACTGACTATTCAAATGTATATCAATGTAACTTAAATGTCTTCATAACAACTATCTTCAAGAAGTACTTCTATTTAGGAGATGTTACAGGAAACTGTGAAAGGAATAATTTTCTTTAGGTGACAAAATGATAGAACTATCTTATAATGTGTTTTTGTTAGCTTGTAAATAAATAAAATGAAATAAAGGGTTGGCAGTTGTAAAGAATTAACTTGTATGATGCTTGATATTAAGAGGGTTAGAAAAAGTGCATTTTGTAAACATCTTTACCTGTAACCAATACTGTAACAGAGAAATGAGATAAAACAGGATTTGTATGGGGTGGAAATATGAATATTTGGAGAAAATGATGGGATTCTTTTAATTGCTCAAGATGAAGTCCATTTCTCAAAAAGTTAGTTATATGCTCTTTTAACTGAGAATATTTAAAGATTTCTTGCAAAAATTCTTGTCCACAGCCAACATCAGCAAGGTATCTTTTAGCAAAAAGAGATAGAATGTTAGTTTCTAGATAGACTAGATTTTTTTTTCAGGTAAGTGGTAGGTTTATTCATCGTTCCGGCTGGCACCAGGCCATCTTGGTCCTCCACAGGTGGGGAAAGGCCTGGGAAAGAGAGCTGGGAGAGCTGGGAAAGAGAGCTGGGAAAGAGAGAGAAAAGAGCTAGAAAAGAGAGCTAGACTAGATTTTTTAAATCTTCCTCACCTGCCTATAATAAGGCACAGCCAAATCATAGAAAGTTAGGCCTTGTTTTCATAGAAGAGCTTTATGTGAACAGCCTAAAAGGATGACTCATACAAAATAAATAATATATTTATGTAGTAGATTTATATTTGTAATTCATAAAATTCAGGAATAACAATGCAAGACAATATATTAGAAACACTTCTATCTTTTCCAAAACATAAGATAGCATTTGTAAAGGCTACCCCAAAATATAAGCAACCACATTTTGACTAAATATCCTTCCTATTTTCTGTATACAGGTGTGTAATAGAGCAATGCAAAATAATTAGTTGAGTATGGAAAGGTGAGTAGATTATAACTTAATCCAGAAATACAGTCTCATTAGGAAAAAATATACAAAGTGAAATAAAATAAAATGAAAACTATTGAGTGCTAAAAAAAAAACCACTTGAAAACCCCACCACTAGGAGAGGACTAACAAAGGCCTTTTAATCTGTTCTTTGTGTATTTGTCCTTGGTAGACTAGATGCAGAAAGATATGTAAGCTTTCTAGTTAATTTGAATGTGATAGGTAGTCAGCCCACATAATTTGTGTCCACATATGAATGTTTTAACTGGACTGTTATACAAGACAAATTGCATGGCCTTGCCAATATTTTCTTGTATGTAATACAAGAGCTTTTGGAAAAAAGATGACAGTACTGTTTTTCTAGGAAAAAATTAAATCGATCGATAAAAGTATTAATAATACCTAATTCAAATTTCAAATCAGGTGCATATATTGGGAGTCATGTTGGAGATAATGCAAAATACCAAACAGTAGCACACTTCTGTTTTTTTTTAGATACTGTGACAATGTGAAACTCAGTTTTAATAGCTTTCCTAAGATAACTCATTTTGTACAGTAGTTTTGATTTTATAACTTGTCATATTTCTGCAAAGTGTTTTTCAAATGAGAAGCACAACTTAAAAATTATACCAGACATATTATATGTGGCACAGTATGGGAAATAAAATGTATGCTAGCAGAAAGTAAGATAAGAGAAAATGCAAAAATTCATACTTTTGAGGCTCTTCACATTATTATTTCTGATGGGAATTATTAGCAACTTAAATTACAAAGACAGTTTATCATTGAAAGCTTCTCTTCATTAGCCTTTACTACTATATATACTTTCCTTCTATCATAATAACGTGATTTCATTTTACTTACTTTTAATACTACTAAAAGCATTTAATTTTCTTGAAAAATACTCACTGGTCTAACATTAAAAAAAGTCTTTTAATTACAAGTTACAAATTTCAAGCACAATAAGTAATCTAATTATACTTATTTGCCCACCATTATTTATAACATTATGTTTTCTTTGACTCTAATTATGTTACTCTAATGATGTAACATTCTAAAATTAACTCCTTAACTCTAATTATGTTACTCTAATGATATAACATTCAAAATAATATAAGTAATGGTAAGGACATTTCAATAAACTAAATAGATTTTTTTCTTCAGATTGTAATAAATAACCACATAAATATATAATTTAATATTTCCTTATTTGTACAGTCAATAGACAGATGAAATTTTACTATGGGAAAATAAATGAACTAACCCTCCCAAGGACCCCTTCCCCTTCACTCCAAAGATGAAGAAAACCAATCAAGAAAAGGAAGGTATAACAAATTGAGTTTGTTTAAATACAGTAGAGCATTTTTGTTCATTCTATTTTGTATTCTGGTTTGTATCTTGTTCTCTGTAGAGAACCCTAAAACTTGATAGTACAGCAAGATTCCTCATCTTCTCTCCCTGGAGTCTACTTTGAACAGGCTTTCACTAAAGGTAGTCCAGGCAGGAGCTAATGCTACTGGTCACATTAAAAGACAAGATATACAGGTGAGGGGGAGCAAGCTACTATGCAGTGAGAGTTTGGGTAATGCTTGGGTAAAATATTTGTTTTCAGTTTTCATGTAGTTGATTTTAAGTACCTGGCTACATAATGAACACCAAAGGAGATCAGAAATAGAATAGCTAGCAGTTAAAGAGAGTAGTTAACAGAATAACAAACTAAACTATTTAGATCTGGTATTGTTCATTTTATCATGAAGCTCTACTGCTGCTTCTGTTGCATATTCTTCATCTAGATGAGACAGTAAGTTCCCCACATGGTCTTATTTGAAATGTAATTCTCCATGTTTCTCTCATTTCCCAGAGAACTATTATTTCCCACCTGCCATGATTAGAGTTAATCATTTGGGTTTGGTAAAAAAAGATGATGCTGTGTGTACATAGGAAGAGGATGAACTTGTCCTATCAATAAAATGGTCTGATGTTAATTGGTTAGATCAGTCTATACTGTAGAAGAACTAATGATTGGGATGAAGACACAACTAGATGCCTAAGATATCCAATCTTATAGTCTTTCCAGCAACATTTATAAACCAATTCATGTATAAGTGGGCGTATAGTGGGCTGTGTTTGGTGTTACTACTAGTTTCAGCATTCTCAGAAGCAAGAATATGGTGAAAAATAATACTCCATGTACTATGCTGAAGAAACTCATCAAGAGTTGCAAATCCCATAATTTCTGCCTGAATAATCCCACCATGTGCTCAACTGGCTTTGAGGGTAGGAGCTATGCATTTAGTCTACATCATACCATCCAAAGGGGATTCCTAAGAGTTATTTCAAAAGCTTTGTAAGCATACATAAACATGGCTTTTTCTCATTATTTCTATAAATTCTATATAAAATGATTTATATATTTTTATTAATGACTTTATATTTTGCTTTTAAACATATTTTCAGTAAGTTATTAAGAGTAAGATTATTAAAAATAATCTTATTTAAAATAAGATTGAAGAAATTTCATACATAAATTCATTTCACTTGGGGATAAGGTTGGCAGATGTATTAGGTTTTTGACAAAATATTTTCAAACTATATTCAGTTTGATTTTCAACAAGTCTTTTAAGAAAACTTTTTAAGGATTTACTAATTTATCACACATTTATAGTCTAAGTAATTCCAAACAGAACACCTTGTCTAAGGCAAGTCCCAGTACTAATTCATGATTCATTATCTAAACTTTAATTGGTACAACTCTTGAAATTCTAGGACCATATGGAAAATAATGAATCCTAATAGGTCTAAGGTGAAAGATGGCAGGGAAATGAGGAAGCCAGAAAACTGTCAAATCAGAATGCTTAGCAACTGCAACACAGTTTCCCCAGAGATCTAGAACATGTCCTAGTGCTTTACTGGTACTGCTAGCATATAACTAACTTGTAGATTATTTTTCATTCTGGAAAACAAAGATTAAAATAAAAAAAACAACCTTAAAGCTGGTTCCTATAATTAAAAATGAAATTGATGTTAATAATAAAAAGGCAGCAATAGAATTGCCATAACAACCCAATGCAACTGTTGACTGACAGCAATCTGCTGCATTTTTATAAATAGCACTTGATTTCTTCCCTTATATTTCAACTAGTTTTAGTGCATACTGGAGCTAATGAAACAATTGTGATTTAAGCAGGGTACCTCTTCGCTGCTGTCATCGCCATACAAATCATCCTCCAATTGGATGTCTGTCCTCACCATACTGTTATCCTCTTTTAGATCCAAAATAAAGGAACATTCCTCTGGGGACATATTCTGCGTCTTCCCATGAGGTGCTGATCGAGGTCTAGATGAAAATGTGAAAATGTCCTTTGGAACCATCTGGGTTTCATCTGCCTGTTGGTCAGGTTCACTGTTCTTGATGGCTTTTGTCCACAAGTGTGGAGTGATGCAGGAATCGTCATCCAGAAGCTGGGACTTACTGCTGGATTCTAAATGGGGAGTGTGATCATCATTTTCAGGAAATACCCACTCATCTGACATTTGGAGAAGATGACAAAAAATTAGAGTAGTGTTCCATACAATTGTCATTTTAGGCAGATAGTTAGGTTCAAATTTCTTGTTGAAACAGATTTCTGAAATAAGACAGAAGCCAAGGAAGACAATTTATCCACCATCTTGTAGTTTGCTAAACACTTAACCCACAGTTCAGTGCCCATAGCTACAGGCAACTCATTTTCACATCCTCTCCATTTGAGTTGAAACACTAGCCAGGAAATTTCTCAGTCTGGATTAATTATCACCTGTCTTGCAGCAAGTTCTTTATTGTACAAACTCATTAATTTGACATTGCAGAGGGGTGAAATATCCAGAGTTTAAAATTTTGAATTACTAGCATCTTCTTACTGCAGGAGGACAGGGTCCAGTATTTAACCAGCTTCTTTAAACCAAGTATCTGGTCATTGTTTGGATTGCAAATGATGGTAGAGAAAAGCCAGAGGAAGATGACAGTCTATTTCTTTTCATTCTCCTGAATGAAATAAGGCAATTCACAGACTAAACTGCACAGAAATATCAGTAATATTAGCATGGTTAATATGACTGGTGGCTTCTACTTGGTAAAATGTGCTTTTTATGTTTAGTTTGTGGGAGAATGTTTTGACATAGAAAATCTTTTTCCGTATTTTTTTTTAAAAATGTTGCCTACTGAGATATTTGATTGAACATTAAGAACTTTAATCTTTTACATGATATTAAGATAGATGATAACATCATGATCCAAATGGTTTTGCAGCATAGTCTTTATAATATCATTAAAAAGCATGCTTATTTTTTTCTTTAAAATGACAGTGGGAAAAATTAAGCATTTTCTCAATTTGTTCTATTTTTCTTGAAATGTACTTTTTCAATGCATTATTTCAATGGTAAAAATCCTGCTAGATACTAGTGGCTCATGTCTATAATCCCAGGAGGCTGAGATCTGAGATTCTCAAGGAAGAGAAGTCTGAAGCTCTATCTCCAATTAACCAGCCAAATGCTGGATTAACAATGTGGCTCAAGTGGTAGAGCATCAGTTGTGAGTGAAAAGCTGAGCAAGAGCAAGAGTCCCTGAGTTCAAACACTGGTACTGGCACATACACAAAAAATTCTTGTAAGCAACTTTTCTAGAACCATACTATGAACATGATCATTTACACTTGATTCATTGTAGTTATGATCACAATAAAAGATACTAAGAGACACCTAAGACTTCCAACTCCAAACCCTATACTACAAAAGCAAAAAGAAAAATGAAAAATAAAAAAAATCACAAAAGTTTAATGAAAGTAATTTTTTGGGAGGGCGATGCCAGTGCCGGGGCTTGGGTACTGTCCCATGGCTTTTTTTTTTTTTTTCTCAAAGCTGACACTCTACCACTTCAGCCATAGGTCCACTTTCACTTTGGGGTTTTTGGTGGTTAACTGTAGATAAGAGTCTCATGGACTTTCTTGCCCAGGCTGGCTTCAAATGGTGATCCTGCTCTGATCAAATTGTGAGTAGCTAAAATAATTGGCATAAGTCATCACCACTGAGCTAATAAAAGTAATATTGATGGCACAGATACAAAACATCTCACAATGCATCTGTTTTGTGTTGAGACAAGATCTTATTGTGTGGTTCAGAATGGCCTTGAACCTGCAGTATAGTCACTTGAACTTCAGGTCCTCCTGTTTCTGCTTCCTTAGTGATAGGATTACTGGTGGGTACCACCATGCCTGGCCTTGGAGTTGTTTGTTAACCTAAGGACATCATTATTAACCTTGACTAGCTTGTACACTGGGTGATAAATATACACTAGTTAGAGGAAATTGATAAAGGTATGACTCCCCTATTTTCAAAGAAAGAGTCTGTTGGTATTTTACCAGTGGCAGGTTGAATCTGTATCTTTTAATCATCTTCTCAGAGGGACTATGTAGAAGTTCCTGAGTCAGTGTAGCTATGGGCAAGTAAAATGAGCAAGTTCACTGAACACTTCTATTTTAGACAGAAAATCCTTTTGTATGTTGTTAGGCACGTAGTAGGCACTTTATAAACAGCACAGAAATGCAAAAGTTAAAAAAATCCAATGTGTTGTGTTATAAGCCTGGATATGTGAAGGTAATTGGAGGAAAAGATGTTGAGAATGCTTATTAGGCAAGTAAACAATATTTATGACCTTTTGCCAAATGTTTTATTAACTGTCAAAAAGTCAAAATAAAAGGAGGGTTTTTTTTCAACAAAGTAACTAATTATCTCACTACTACCACAGCTTTTTTGGAATTTGTACTTTTACTTCAAGCATTTCCATATCAATTGTAATGAATAATTTGGTGTGTTTTCTTAGGAAAATATGTAAATTACTGTGTAATCACAATATTGCAGCAAACAAGATAAATGCAAGAATGATCACCTAAACATCTAATTAGTTTCTCTACACAGTTAGATTTATGCTAGAGACACTAATTGCATCTAACATTTTAATGAAGGTTTCAACATTGCATAAATAAGACTGACAAACTACAAACAATTTTCATTTATTTTCCTTTTTTCCCTTGCTCAGAAACAATTTGCCTTTGTAAAAGCAGCACACACCTGCTAGGCAAGATATGTTGATGGGCTCAGTGTTCTTGGCTTCAACCATCTCAATTTCTAAAATGATGGAAAAATGCAACAATAGATAGTCTTTGGGGACTGTGACAGTATCATGGGAAGACTTCAAAGTTTTAAACTTTCATGGTGAATGGCACAACTTAGACCTAATAACTTGAAAAGAAAAATATTTTCATTCATTAAAGTCTCTCATAAAATTAAGTTTTTTAAAGAAAAACAGATTAACAAAAGATGATCCATTTCAACCAATGGCTGCATTATGACTTTTCATACTGACTGGATTTGAACTATTTGGTGTAAATGCATTACAGTTAGCATGCCAACCTGAGAGATCAGCAGACTGAGGTCCTGGAGTATTGAGTTCTTTTTTCTCTGCTTTTTCTTGGGTCACAGTGGTGAGGGTAGCTGCTGCTTCATCTCCATTCTTGTTATTTCCCGAAGAACCATCTTCATTGGAATAAGTTACTTCTTTTGATATTTATAAAAAGTAATTTTTGAAGAATGAAAGAAATTTGGTAAACTTTTCATTTTGATTATTTGAATACAAATGAGAGTAACACATAATTCATTATTTTTTTTTCAGTTTGAAGTTTTAAAGAAGTTCACCTTAAAATTCTTTGGTATCTGCCCAGGGACATTTTAGATTTAACTTCTACAATATGTAATAAAAAGGAATTCCAAACCTCATACAATATTAAAGGGCCTTATTCTTTCTTGGGTTCTACACATGATGTAGTAATTGAAAATTAAAATTCTTACAAAATATGAGTTTTTAAAAAACTTTTATTGAAGGGGGTGGGAAGGTGGCTTAGTGGTAGAGTGCTTGCCTCATATGCATGAGGCCTTGGGTTTGATTCCTCAGCACCACACAAACAGAAAAAGCCAGAAGTGGCACTGTGGCTCCAATGGTAGAGCACTAATCTTGAGCTGAAGAGCTGAGGAACAGTGCCCAGGCCCAGAGTTCAAGCCCCACGACCAACAACAACAAAAAAAATGGTTATTGTAGAGGCAATATATGGAACGGTTACAGTTTCATGAATCAGGTAATGAGTACAGTTCTTTTTGAACCATGTCTCCCCTTCCCTTGCTTTCTCCAAGTTCAAAGTGTGAGTTTTAACCAAGCTCTTTCCTTTAGTTCCTTAAGAAAATGAATGCAGACATTATTTGAATATTAGATTTTCTGTCTGCTCTTTTATAAAACTAGCATAAAATTTAGAAGGCTGAATTTCAGCCAACCCAAGAATCCCACATTTTTAAGAAATCATGTTAACAGATGTATATAAGATACCCTTTGGGCTGGCTTCAGGATTGATTAATGCACATACATACAAATCTACACTAACATGCCTCAAATTCACTATTTAAAAGAACAGCCACCTACATTAATGCTTAACTTGTTGCCGAAATTTTAATCCATATTGTTATCCTATGGCAAATAATCCAAAGGGAGAGACTGAAAATGTTAACTGGCAATAAGAGGGAACTTCATTTAAAAAGAAAAGACATAAATACAATCTGAAAAATTATAATAAAGTTCAATTTTAGCAATCTGCAGACAAGAACATCCTATATCATATTTGGGCCTTTTTTTCCTAAAAAAATAAGTTTTATTCAGCCTTTGAAAGTAAAGCAGGGAGTCCTTTATTTCTGTGGTACTATCAATTTAATCAGAAAAATCTCAGTTAGGGCTCTAGAGCAATTCTTTTGCAGAAAATTTGATTTCCATAATCCCCAAAGAACAGACATTTATATTTTAAATGAATTGGTTCATAATCCTTTGAAATTTACAGCCTGCAGAGAGATTCCATTGCCCCAAATAATACACAGATCTAAGATAGTATTGAAATATTGCCATACCACAGGGTGTCTCTGTCCGTAGTCTGCTGGAGCTTTTTAACCAGAATCTTCTTCGGTTATTAGGCTTATCAGTTGATGGTTCTTGAGGGGGATGTGGATGCATAATAGGTAGACTGGCTGGTTCATTTTCATATCAAAGAACAAAAGCCAGTACAGAAATGACTATGCCACTTGAAATAATTCAATAAATATAATTATCACTGCAATGAAAATACTCATCTATCATTCTGACAAAATATGAGGCAATATCAAAACCATAACTTAATCCTTCACAGAAAAGAGGTGTTTATTTTAATTCCAGTTATAAGGATTTTGTTTTAGGCTTTTAAAATTACTGATGGGTTTTATTTGTGCAATAGAATGTTTATAGAGAGCTAAGAAACTCAATGTTAATTATACAAACTGACATGTTAAAAATTATAAAAAATGAAAGTGACAATTTTTCCTTTAAAAAAGAAAGTGTAGCTGAATATGCTTTCAATTAGATCTTAGAGAATAGTTTCCCAAAGAACTCTAGAGAAGGATTCTTAAGTATAACTTAATCTTAAGTAATCATAGCAGCATTTAATATTCATTCCTTCATTTCTTAGAGCAATATAATATACTTCATTGTTTTTCTCACTGAATCTTCACAATGACTCCTTGGGGCAATTATTAGTTAGTATTACTCTAAGAGACAACCTAAATGATGCTTTTCCTGAGCCCTGTGAATCAACTAAAAGTTCCCCATCTTTGTACCTGTTCCTTTTATTCTGAACTATTATTCTGCTGCAGTCACCGTAGGTTCCCCAAAAGTTTAGATTCAGAGGTAAGTATCTTGTGTGGAAGGCAGACTGCCTCTCAAATGGGCAATGCCTTCTTGGTATCTTTTAAAAAAAACAGCCAAAAATTCAGATCATCACCAGGCAACCAGTACCAGAGAAATGCTATACACATTTTAAAAGTGAGAAAACAAAACTTTCAGTGTGTTGGGCTGGGAGGTGGCTCAGTGGTAGAGTGCTTGCCTTGCATTCATGAGGCCCTGGGTTCAATTCCTCAGCACCACATAATCAGAAAAAGCCGGAAGTGGTGCTGTGGCTCACGTGGTAGAGTGTTCCTTGAGCTGAAGAGCTCAGAGACAGTGCCCAGCCCAGAGTTCAGGCCCCACAACCAAAAAATTAAAAAAATAAAAAAAAACTTTGAGTGTGGAAGAGATGTGATCAAGTCTGCATAGATAGTGATAGAGCTGGGACTAGATAATTAGGCATTCATTTGCTTGTAAAAGTTTTACATTCCTTGGGGGGGATATTGCCTTTAAAAATGATTATTAATTTCTAAATCAAATCATAAAAATTCAAATGTTCCCATTTTCAGCAGTTGCTAAGTTAGAGCAGGAAGGGTAGAATGACTGACAGAGAATTAAGTTTTGGATTGCAGTCTTAAGCCTTCTTAATGATTACAAACTATGAATCATATTGCCTCTTCATTAGACTGGAACTTTCAATGTATAAAATGAGACAAAAGTCTTTCTTTTTACCTACAGGGCTTAAAGAGAAAATAAAGAGCACTTTACCAACTGAAAATGAAATTTAACAAAGCAAACTTAAAATACACATGAACTTTCTCCAAATATAGTGATGATAAGTTATTTTACTTCTGCATCATTATCACAAGATAGAAACATACAATGATATAGTAAACTGAAATAACCTAGCAAATAGAATGATAGATTCCAAAAGATAATGTATATATAAAAATTCTAGATGTATTTTGATATCCACCATTATTAAATGGTAATTCCTGGATTTAAGATATCTATACCTGACTATAACTTTTTTTTTATCTTAACAAGAACATTGTTCACTATTTTCACTAACTCTCTGCAAGATTCTTTCTCACCATGAATTGGTATACTCTGCTTTATTTGGTGAATATTTTCTTTATCTCCTTGCTCCTCAGATATTTCTCCACTGGTCACAACACACTTCTCTACTGTGGGTTGCTGGCATGATTGGCTACTTTTGGACCCAACAGATCTTATTGTCTAGAAGGGAAAAGAAATAAATATGACATCTGAAAATACATTAGTTACATTTATTTCCTATATAATTTTATGGAGAAAAATGAACAAATAAATAGTGAGGAAAAATCTAGAAGAAATAACGTTATACAAATGATAGAAAGAGAAATTATTGTAGGAAATTAGAAATGCAAAGAGAAAAAATATCCTAAGATAGAAGACAAACAAGTATTAGTTGCTACACACCATCCCAGGTAGGAGTTGAATTAAGAATCATTTTATCTGTCAGAAATTCTCAAGGGACATGAAAAAAGTATGATATCTAAATATCCATTCATGGTATAGTGTCTGATACATCTCGAATTCATTTTTTAGAAGGAAAAGAAAAACACAGAAAGCACAGAAAAATGTGCTTATATATTTGCATGTAAGTTTCATGAATATATAATATATAATGCATATAATATATAATTAAAATAGGTGAAAATGTTACTATTATTTACATGCCATAAAGAAAAGGTTTTGATGTCTTGTGAAATAGAAACTTTCTGTTTCAAATTTATTCCCATCTCCTTTCCCCAGAACTTATGCCTCATCCCTGACCTTACAGCTCATTCTTCAATAAACTCTTCAAACTTCCATCTTACCTCACTGGATAGTCTCATGTGATTCCTTCTGCCAGACAGTGGAGGCGGCCCAAGAACTTTAGATCCAAAAGCTATGTGACAGACATCTTGGTTTTTACTGTTCCGGATGCTACCTGTTGCTCTGTTGATGAACTGGTCTGTTTAAAGGAAAGTCTTAGTTCATTAATGGGTATAATGACAAACAGCATGTTACAACACTTCTGAAAGTAGTCTAAGTAGTATATAATCTGAATCGCCATCTTCAGCACTTATTAAAAATGCAATTATTTCCATCAGATTAAGATATTTTTAACAAGGTTGAGGAGGGCACCACAGAAGTTTCCAAAAATAAAAAAAAAACCTCTGAGAACTACTACTACAAATATTTTCCTCCAAAACTGAAAGGAAAATAGAGAAGCTACTAAAAGTACATCTTATTTTCTCTTTATGGAAATAATTTAAAGACAATTCTTCAACTTAACTAAATAAATCTTTAATTGGATATCTCTCAGGCAGTTACTAGAGGTTGTTAAGTAGCACAGAATGGGTAAGACATTGTTTGCTTCAAAGGTGTGAAGGAGGTAATAAAAGTTTACAGAATAAAAAATAGACCTTGAATAATTAAAATGTTAAGAATGAGAGATAAAGGAGCACTAGACAGAATAAAGAGCAGAGAAAAGAGAAGAGAAAGGGCAGCTAGTTTTGCTTAGGGAAGAAAAAGAGAGGAGGTCATCCTAAATTTGCTGTTAAATGGGGGACTCCTGGAAGTTTTAGGGTAAAAGCACATTCAAGATAGTGCAGGCATGAGCACCACACCTTTTAAGCACACAGCTATATCACATTTCTGAGCTGCCTCCACATGAATCTGGGCTGCAGAGCTCAGGTCAGGCTAATGGCATATTAGAAGCCACTTCCTTGTTCCTAAGATCTTCTAGATAATCCCATGCTCTCTTTGCTCAACACTTGACAAGATGCAGAGTATTTTGTAGTATGTACCTTCAGGTTTCCAGGGAAGACATTGGATGTAAGAAGCTGGGCATCTGATCATATGGAAGGAACTCTGGATTGAACTAGAGAAGAGGGCCTTTCTCTCACAATTAACCACCAGAAAGGCAGTGTGCTAATTCCTCTAATAGGGTAGACCAGGGTGATGGCTTTTATACTAGTTACTAACTGGAAACCTGTGTGTCCAACATTTTGCATTTTAATATTCACTTGCATCATAATATTTACAGTTTGAATATTAAGATGCCCGGGGAAGTCCACTTTGCCATTAGTTTCTATACCTATATGAGCTACTGGCCACATCCATTCTGACTTACTACCATGAAACAATTCAATTAGCTAGCTAGTTGAACTCATTAGTCTCTATTGTAGAGCTGTAATAGATACTGGTGGTTTGTTTGCTGTCATTTTGAAGGTGTTCAAGCATAAGTTTGAATAGATATTTTGGTTAATGTAAGTTAAACTCAGCCATCAGGTGACTCCCTAATGTATATCTATAATCCTCTTCTTTTCTGGGCTTCACTGCTTATATCCAAATACTTCTTTGTCAGCTCTTCTCTGTTATCTCAAATACTTCAAACTAACAAGCTGGCCTAATGAATAGCACCTTAGTCCATCCACTATGAGCAGTCAGAACTTAAGTGTCAAGTTGGACACTTCCACCCTTTCCATACCTGTTCCATCCTCACTTCTCTTTTTCTTCCACCAGGGCCACTATCCAAGTGACCATTACCTTTCTCCCAGATGACCATAAAACCTGTCAAGGATTTACCATGTAAGCTCTGATGCTCTATCCCATTCTTTCTCCAAAATGTGCAGCCTGAGAGGTCTTGTACAAGTGTGGTTGTATCATTTCTTTCTTCACTTGAAGCTATTCAATGGCTTCTCCTGCTCAGAGGATTAAGAAGAAAGCCTTTCATACTGCCTATAAAAATCTGTTCTGACATAGCCTCCTATCTCATACTGCTCCTTTTCTGTTTGCTCAACAGAAGGTCCTTCTCATCACTGACTGTACATGCTGTTTTCCAGGATGAGAAGGCTTGGCCTTTCCCTTCTGATATTTTTAACTGATCTCACTTCACTTACTGGACAACTCTTTCTGGATCTTCCTCATTCAGGTATGTTCGCCCAGAATAGATACTTCCATAAAATTTCCCTCATATCACAGAACTTGTGGGAGTTACAGTTTTGCATATCTCTGTGGCATCCTATTAATGTGTACTTCTAATGGCCTGTTTCACCCTGAACTAACCAATATCTAACCCCAGACTTGACAGAGATTGGGAACATAATAGAATTGGGCTGAACAAAATGAATGAGTGATTAAATGAGTCAGAAGGCAAGTTGGAGTGAATTATTCTAGTATTTCCAACTATGATTAGAATTGCGTTTTAAGAAAAACCCACCTGGGGGTTTTAAGTGTAAGTCCAGGAGGAAGACTGGAGAGGATTAGAGGACTCCAGCATTTGAGAATTCAGAAGAAAAGGTCAATGCTTATCTGAGTTGTGAGTCTCAGGGCAGTATTGTTACAGCACCACAATTTGATGCCTGTTCAGGACACATTTGCAATTTCCTAGTGTTTACCAAATAGACTTCGCTATGTGTGTTTCTGAATTTTTTCCCTAGGCCATTTATAAAAAACCCATTTGAATAAACAAAACAATGTTAGTTTCTGAGTATTGATAATACAAAGACATTTTAAGCTATTTAGCAAATTCTATTATAGGCACCATTTGCTTTTTTATTATTTAGAAAAAAATTATGTGGGGTTGAAAGCATAGCTCAGTTGGTAGAGCACTACCAACAATGAGTGAAAGCATCAGTTATTGAGTTGGAGTCTTGAACTAAGACATGTCCGACCACCCCCGCCAACCCCAAAGAATGTAAACAACAAAATCTAAATGCTTCTTTTTTTTATTTTATTTTATTTGTGAACATACTGTACAGAGGGGTTACAATTACATGGGCAGGATAATGCGTACATTTCTTATCAAGCATTGCAGCCTCCTCCTTTGTTTA